GTTAGATGTTAAATAAATATATTCCTCGAGGAAAATTTTTTATTAAGACACGAAAGGTGATTTCTTATGCTTATTTTCAAGAAATATGCGGTTTTTGACCTTTTTTGACAAGGTGAACATTTGTTTTGAATTTTCCTGATCGTGTAACGTTACACCTGATCTTGAAATTTGATTGGCAAAAAATCACGTGTCAGTGACATTTTGTGGGTGCCAATCAAAATTCAGGATCTGGTGTAATGTAAAATTTTACGAAAAACAAAGTTTTCCTTGCAAAATTTTGCTATGTGGTGTCATTTTTTTTTACCAGAATTAAATAGATTGGCCTAAACTAAATTAGAATAAAATCGCCACCCAAAAAAGTTTCAAGTAAAATTTCGTTTTTTAGGTTAGGGTTAGGATTTTATTATTAGATCGATGTTTAAAAGTACTCCTTATAGCAAAAATTTATAAGGAAAACTTTTAATTAATGCGCAGAAGGCAGTTTTATAGACTAAATTTTGGGTTTTTGACGTTTGTTTTGAATTTTCTTGATTGTGTTACGTTACACCTGATCTTGAGACATGATTGGTCATGAAACTTTTTTGGGTGGCGATTTTACCCCAATTCCTAAACTATACCATAACTCTAAACTAACCCTAATCTTGGCCGAATGATTGTCTTCTTCAATCTACCCAAATCGTATCTATTACAGCGTTTTTCACCAACAAATTCCAAATATCACATCGGAAATCAGGAATCTAGGAAAAAATGCCGATCTATGATTGGTTAAAAAATTATTAGAATAATTTCTAGCCAATCATAGATTGGCATTTTTTCTAGATTCCTGATTTCCGGTGTGATACGTGAAATTTGGTCACAGTAATTTGAAAAGCGATGAAAATAAAAAATAATAATTTACTGTATTAGTGAATGAGCATAGTCTTTTTAAGAATTTCTTTAATATAAAAAAGAGAAAACATGCTACAAAGCTACACAACTTATTTAGATTCTCACATATAAAATAAATTCAGGTATTTAGGATAACGCAGTATATATTCCGTAAAGTTCCGTTTTACTCATGGAGAACGCTAAAATCTTTTTGACATTTTGAAAGTCATTATGACGTAGGGAATTATATTTGTCGTTCAGAATCCATTTTAGGAATTTTTCGACTTTCATCTTAAATATTGAAACTTTATCTGTTTCTTTTTTTTGATTTGAAAAATCAAAAAAAGCACTAAATTAGTGTTGTCCAATAATTTTTCTTTTGAAGTGGTACTGTAATACATTAGTGGGAATTTTGATGATAAACTGTACGACATATGTACGTACGTATGTACATCTGTGTGCTTTTCAAGGTATGTGATGCGCGTGACGTATCGTCACAAATAAGTCTGTAACTTGTCGATCACTACAAATTTAACGCTTAACGGATACCTAATTAAGATATGAAAGTTTGACAAATATATACCAACCAGACCCTTTCGTGCGCGCGCACTTTTTTAAAGTATTAAACATCAAGTTAAAATTAGGATAGAGACTACAATATGGGATAGCCTATACCAAAATTTCGCAAGGAATTTTTTTTTTTTAATTAATGTAAGAATGTGGATTCATATTCAAAATTTCAAGGTATCGATGGCTTCTTTAAAAAAAAAAGTTATTTTAAAGTTACACCAGATCTATTACGCGACTCTAACGCATTCCTAAATCATCCGAAATAGTTCTACGAGAATTGTAACACTAGATCAGTAATCTGTAAAAACATCGAGATTGTATAAATTGCATTCAATATAAACCGGCTTTTGCATGTTGTTTTTGTTTCAACGTACATCGACAAGCCATAGTGAACTTATAAATATTCACGTAGTATTCGAATTAAGGCTTCCGTTACCATTTAGATATTACATAATAAACACTAAGAAGTATTTGCCTCTTTCTCCAAAAAATTTTTTAAAACAAATTACGCAAATATGAACCAATCCACAGCTCAAATGATTAACGCTCAACCACAAAATAATAATGGCCAGTTGCAAAGGCCTCAGAATATGGGTGGTCCACAAAATGGCAGTGGCCAATTTCAAGGAGCTTTAAATATACGTATTGGTAGGAATGCACATATAGGTATGCAGCCTCTAATACTTCAGAACATATTCAACAGTACCTCTACTGCCGTTCAATATTACACAGATCTAGCTGGAGGCACAGCATTCACTAGAACACAAGATATAGAAAATCCACAACTACAGAGAATCCAATCTTTAATGTTAGGGTAAGAGTTAAGAATAGGAATAGCTGGCTATTGCTGGCTATCGGCTGGCTATTACCGGCTAACTGC